TAGACAGATTCTAAACATGTTACATTGTAAAACGTACTTAGAAACGAACAGATTTCATCAATTGCCAATTTATTATTATGGGCGGATTGGTATACAAATTGCACATTTACCTGTCGCTCTACTTTCTCAGACATCATTACTACCACAATGCATTGCTGACTAAAATGGTGGCTATTTGAAGGTAAGGCTAGTTGAACTATATTCGTAATCGTATGATTTCTATCTATATTAGCTTATGTTTAAACAGAATAGGAGTTCAGAACCACGGGGCACTGTTTTGGTTTTCCAGTTACTTTTAGAAAATATCAAAGTCCATGTAAAATATCCAGAAACACTAATTTTGAACTTAAACAGCTGACATGGTTCAGTGGATTTGTGTAGGTTTCGGTCAAAGTGAAAATGTAAACACGCAAATAAACCCATTTTTTGTAAATGATCAGTGCATGATGACACCTTAGCGGAAATCTATGAGGTTTAATTCATGCTACTTTTGGAGAGTTGTTGGTTAGTGGTTGCTTTCTTGAGCCCCGCGAATTGAAAAATTGCTACATAAAACCTACATTTCAAGAAATTCCAATGCAAGTTACTGAGTTTGCAAATGAACTGATTCTTTTCATCTCATGCCGTTTTTGGTGGCGTCCCTGCTTATTCGCAAAGTGTTTGCATTTTTGAAAGTTAATCTCGCTCATTTCTGTTTATGCTCCAGTCAATGTAAACCCCGACCCCTCCCACCTTGGGCGATAAGGGACAAACGTTGGGCATTAGGCAGGGTTTACCGCCAAACTGCCCGTGGAGGTGGGGAATAGCAGTGTTTCGTGTCCCGTCATCGCTAGCATCGCCAGTACTCTGCTGATAGCAAGCATGGCGAACAGTGGCGATCGGTGGGATAAATGTGGGGGGTTTGTTTTGGGTGGGGACTTGCCTATCCATCTTGCCCCAGGAGGTGAGGCAGTGAGGCATTTCACAAATTTTACAACAATAATTTCCAAATCCCCCACTAAACCCCAAGGTGGGGAGGGTGTGGGTTGACATTGACTGGAGCATTACGCAACCAAACATTTCCAAGCAGCCACTGCGTTTTGTGATGCTATTGGCTAGAAGTGATGCGCACAGAATGAGGTTGGTTACAAACATTCGCAAATCGTGAGTTTGCTTATTGTGCAATCATCATCATCACACATGGCACCATACAAGTTTATAAAAGTTGCATACCTTTATCTTATTAATCTTTGCCAACATACATGTTTTACAGTATTATTACACAACAATTTGGTACCTTAAGCCAGAAGCTGGTAATACACATCAAAATGAGCAGTGGTACAAGACCTGGGCAGACATATAAATATACTATATCAACAAAGAAGAGTAAACATGTTATATCAGCAGAGGAAGAGGAGCTTTATGAATTATGCAATCTTGCCGGTGTGAATATAAATCCAAAGATTTATAGGTAGGAAAATGTGTGTGCGTGTGGAGCTCCACGGTCCATGTGTGTTAGGCATGTCTAAACTTGTAGATGTAACAAATACTAAAAACTAAGAAGGTCAATTCATTGTTCTCTTGCACAGTCATTGGAAATTGGTTAACACTGTCAAATGTGCTTTATTTGAACTAAAAAATCCATTGATACAGGAATTCTGTGAATATAATTATGTTCACATAATTACTGTAAACTGTATAATTTTCACAGCTAGAAATGTTAACTCTTGCGTTTTTACAGTGTATATGTAAATGTATAGACAGAGTATGAAACTTTGATATGGACAATGTTTCTATTGAATCATTTATATCCAATCTCATTAAATTCCTCTAGATTTAATTACGATTGAGTTTTTCAGCATCTTCAGGCATCAAGTCACTGAATCACTCAAAATCGATCTGAAGGTCACATCTCAAAATTATGGCTTTGATTTGTTTCTTGGCTATCTAATTTATTCAGAAATTATAGACTCTTTTACATGTGTTGCAACTGTGTTTGAGCATCCAAAGCTAAATTCAAAACAGCACTACATAGGAGGATCTTAGGTTAGCAGCAATTCAATGTGACACGCATGATTCACAATCACAGCAACTACTGAATTTATTTCATTTAGAGACAAAAGAATTCTAAAATGTCAACCACTTAAATAGTAGAGTTTTCAGAATACCTAACACGACATATAGTTACCGGTAGTTTTGTTTTCATTAACTAAAGCCTAAATTAGGGTCAAACCATTGGTTCAAGAAGATAAATTTGCGGTGCACAAAATTGTAGAGAACTATAAACAGCACAATTCTGCGATCAGCAAAAATTTTAGAATCCAATAAATTACAATAACCTGCAAAATAATTAGATGATCAAATTTTTAGAGTAGCCAAATTTTTTTTTTTACAGTAATATAATTTTAAAAGACTAAATTCTCTGTCTCTATTGTGACTTTCACATGCTTCATTGTTTGCTGTGATTTTGTTGATTCATTCTTTGCATTTGTATATTTCTTGCAGAATAATTGCCGATTTGGTCCGAATGAATGTTGCACCTATTGCAATATTACAGATATTTAGAGCTATGAGTCTTCATTCTAAATATGCAAATACCAGTCATATCAGCAGTTCACAACTTTCCTATGTACATCCTGGCATGGAACCCAGCTCTATCAGTAGTAACACTAGCAGTAAAATTCACAGTAGTAGAACAAGAATGCTACCTCATTCATAGACAACAAATACCATAAAAACATTGCACGAGAAGTTTAGGGAAATCATGGCAGCATTTTAAATGGATGATGAATCTGCCTGTCTTGAGCTGACCAGAATATTATTGAGGAGGCTTTCCTGGAAAAGACACGAACAAACAGCCTGGTGAACATTGTAAAAAAATGTTTTAAAACATTGAGATATGCAGTAATTGAGACTGAGAAAGACTGTACTGTATTTCCTCCACTGGAAATTGAGTTACTATTGAATTTAAAACAAACAAGAGTGAAGACTTGTTTAATTCTCAACTTTTGTCGCTAATATCATATTAAATCATTCAGTCCACTAATAGACCTAAATTGTAATTTAGTAAATTTTTACACCAATTGAACGAGACTATCAACATCACAATGTAATTCAGTTGCAGGATACAGTAATCATCCAAAAAATCAAATCAAGGCGATAGGAAAATATGACATTTTTGAAGTTTTATTTTTTTAAATATATATATATATAATGGTTGACAAATAGAAAACTGGTGAAATAAAATTCTACTTTGATTCAATCTAAGAATATGTACTTGAAATGATGTAAATGTACAGTAATAGTAACCTTAGTGGTTTTGCATCTTCCAAGTAAGATAAGTTATTGCTATAGCATGGTTTGTCTTTCTGTCCGCCTGTTTGTTCAAGACAGCTTGTAAGCAACCCACTATGTACACATTATTTGATTCAAGAAATTAACTGGGTTACTTCCACATTTCTGTTGGTGTGCTGTCAGTATGAATGAAACCCAGCAACTAGGTGTAAAAGGTGAAAACAGCAACACTTGGAATGTGAATATTACCAATACTTTTGCAGTATACTAACCTGATTTGGTACGCCAAATGTCAACCAAGTTGCAAATGTCTTGAGTACTTTATTGTAGTTGCTTGGCTGTATGTGAATTTGGCAAATAGATTAAAAGACGTAACCTTAATTCATTACACATACCAAACCAGTGTTCCCTCTAAGCTTTATTTTCGCTCAATTTTCTCAGATTCAATTGTAGTTTCTCAGTGAAATTTTGTCTTTTGAGAAACTTTCCATGCATTTTGTATGCAGAAAAAACATTTCAAGGGGAAAATGGGCAAATTTTCACAGTATTTTCAAGATTCAAAAAAATTAAAGAGAACAGTGTACCAAACCACAACCTTAATTTATTACACATACCAAACCACACTAGGTGAAGCAGTGAGAAAAGGTTTGTGATCTAGTTTCTAACTCTCTACGTGGATGGGTTTTTGAAAATATTAAAATGACATGTATTAATTAGGAACTGTCCAATTGCTCTGAAGAAACACTTGCACCCTCAATGCTGCATAATCCTTCATAATGGTACACATACATACCAGATTCCATTCCATGCCTATCTGGCATTTTTGCCCTTGTGAGGTTTCAAGATCTTTAGGAATCTTTGCAAGGGGGTGCTGTTCAATAAAAGTCTGGCTATACATGTACGTTTACACACTGCCCTCTACAGTTGAAATGTGGACCCCTGTCTCGTAAATATTTTTATGCTCCACATCAGATGTCAACTGAAAGTGGCTGTGTTATCTTTTTTTAACTGTTATATATATTCTTGTTTTGTTCTTTTTTTTACTTTTTAAAAAATAATTTCATGCATATTAGCCACTTAAGGTCAATCATTAGTTTCAATAGCATGAATAATTCACAATTTCTGTTTTGAGACGCGTTAAACAAGTGTAAAGTTGAAATAACAATCTTAGCATATGAAAAATATTAAAACTATCATATACTTTATTTTTAAAGTATTCCCAACATATTGTTTCATCATGTAAAGTCTGGAAAGCAAATGTTCATTAACAGAAGAGCAATGTTATCATGCACCACCCTGCCCCCTATGTACTAAACTTAAATTGGAAAAACAATGGATGTTCACCAAACATTTTTCCCAAACCTCACAACACCACCATATGACATGCATACGAACTTTGAGCTGGCTGTTTTTTTGAGAACTTGTTTGATCAAACACATGCACATACAAAAGCTAATAAAATAATTACTCTTGCACGATAGTCACCAGCGATCACATGAGGGCGCTATTTACAATGTAGATGGCAGGACCAGCAAGGCATAGTTTTATTGATAAATTGACAAATGCAGTTCATATACATATACATTTATAATAGTTTCGCACAAGTTTTTTTTCACATTAAATAATCAGGGTCATATATCCTGGTACTTGTCTGTAGTATAAATAAAAATCTATAAAATAAAAACAATGAATTGAGTATGCTGCTGTTTAGGTATTTTTCCAAACCCTTCAGTAACTGAATAAAAATGTGTTTACTGGTTTGTGAATTGCTTCATGGGAAAATGGAAACACAGAAAACATTTGCATGCAACAAGCTTTGAAAATATTATTTGTGCTATATTTCACAATACAAAAACAAAATACACAGAATGCCACTTGTATTAAATTTCATGAGCAAAAATGAGGTATATTTCGTATTGCAGAACGGCTAATACGTCACCACTTAGAAGTTCAAAAGTCATGTGAATGCCATCGAATCAAAGTGGCTCCCTGTGCTGTACTCGAGATACTGAGAACTGAATGAACATGGTGATATTACAGAGGCAGCCATTATATTCGGTGGAATATTTTGTGAATCCATTACTACGGCAGATTATATTTTGGACACTTGTTTTCTTTTCAACAAGTTGTATTGTATTACATAACCACAAAAACTGGCCTGACTGTGTAACCTTATCGTTTCATTTTGTGAGACGTGAGGCAGTTTTACATATTTACCCAAATTAGGTGTTTAAATATTAATGGCCGCCATTGTAATAAATATATATGCATAGAAAATACTGAAAAGTATAACCATGATCATAGCATAAAACATGAATTTGTTTTATGGACATTTATAAATATCGGTATTTATAAAACATTTATTCCGAAAATCATTGAGCTTTGTTCAAATTCAAAAAAGATGCTTTCATTGGCTGTAGAAACCATTCGGTAATGTCCATCACCCATGAGTCTTTGCAGGGTTTCTTCAAACATTGGCTGATTTAATGTCATGAACCTATTGAATTTGTTGAAAACGCTTGAAACTACAGTGAATTATTTACTGAAATATATTTAGAAGAATACAAGTAGGTACTGGTTATACCATTTTCAGTATTAAAGTAGAGATTAAAAGTTAACTGACAGTAGTGAAGTTCTATACAACGGATTGTTAAGTTATTTTCAATCGCCAATTGAAATTTTTAAATACTTTATGTAAACCAAATTCACGCTTTCTGAAATCTGGTGTAAAAAGTTTGAACAATATTAATCATTAGATTTATAAAGTTAAAAAATAAAAACAATTTTCAAGATTTCATTGAAAATGCGAGGTTATGGTTGACAGGCAATAAACACCTTGTCCCAGTCATTTCAAATTACTGTGGAGTACTTTATTTTCGCTGGAATTAATTTTCGCTGAAAGGGCTTTTTTGGGCGTTTTGTATGGAACTTATTTTCATTGATTTTTGATGAATTTAATGTGAAATATAGGAAAAAAAGTATATTCGCTGGATTTTATTTTCACGAAATCATCCATTTAGCGAAAATAGCGAAAATAAACTCCAAGCAAAAATAAAGTATTCCACAGTATACTGTAAACACTTTGGAATAGCTGCACGCGATTTTAGTAAATTTGACCAAAGTGCCAACAATCTCATTGTGAGAATATACTTCTCTTTACATAAGCGATATCTTGAATTAGCGAAATTAGCTAAAATAACATGCTAGCTAAAAAGACATGTTTTACAGTACAGAGAGATGTTCAAAGCAGACGCAAAAACTAAACCTGCATAATTAATTCATATTTTTTTTCAAAATTTTGAAAGTCACTGTGACTAAAGTGAAACCTTCACACCTGCAAAATGTCATGATTTTTCGTGAAAATAAACTGGAGTATTCTAGTCATGAATCCAGTGATTTCTGGATGCATGTGCACACGCACACACACACACACACACACACACACACACACACACACACACACATTCAGAACACCACAATATGGCTGTCAATAGACCATTTTCCGTTCTCTGTGAGATCCCGAGTTATACATGAAATTGAACGCACAAACAAACAAACAAACAAACAAACAAAGGTAGAGGCGTCAAAATATTGCATTAGATTTCACAAATATGAAATACTCTAAATTACTTTATTTTCACTTTGAATTAATTTTCGCTATTTTTGCTGAAGGAATGATTCAGTGAAAATAAAATTCAGCAAATGTACCTATTTTCCTATATTTTACATTCAGCTTGTCAAAATTCAGTGAAAATTAATTACAACTAAAATAAAGTATTTTATAGTATATTTTTTGGCCATACACATTTGATGATGGCCAATTTTGATGAAGTAAAGACATATATATAAAGATAAGCCATATTCCTTTCTGAAAAATAGATTTTCAACATTGTATTTGAAAAAGGGAAATTCAAGCTCAAAATCAAATCATTCAATTTTTACGGCAGATGTTTGAACCATGTATTTCACACATTAGGTGAGATCTCACAATGAACGGAAAATCACAAGGTACAGAAACATGATTTATTTTTACCTTCAAAATCACCAGGATGTAAGCCCTTTATAAAATAATAAACATAAGTCAACATGTTACTAAAAAAAGTACAGAAACGCACATGAATTCATCCTCTCCAAAACAGAATGTAGCAATAGTATTTCAGATACTCAAAGATCCATATCATCATTTGTATTGTCAAAGACGACTTTCCCAACAGCACTTTGAGGTTGTTGAACCCTCCTCACTCTCCGTCGACGATTTGCGTTAATTATCGGACGTGCCGCGTAAATAGCATTGATGTCAATAGCACCTGGCATATTATTATTGTCCATGGCATGAAAAAAACTTTCTTCAGGCGTCATAGTCTCTACTACACATTCAGATTCTGTACTCATAGTGTCTATTGGTGTATTCATTATTGCAGGGTTAGGGTCTGATTTACAATCGGCAGTCAGATTCACCACGCTGCTGTCAAAACTAGCATCGTCATATCGAATATTTTCAGTAAATGAATCACTGGAGTTGTCAGAACTGTCTGTTTCTGGTGAGTCACTAGATGATGTTGATTTCACTGTGTTGTCAAGCAACACACCGAGAGGTTGCCATAACACCAAGGCATTACAAGGCTGAATGCTGTAAGGCAATTCAATCACAAAACAATTACGACACTATAGAAGTGAAATGACAGCCATCTTGTGTATGCTGGATTTCATTCCAAAAACATTACTACATGTATGTAGATAACTAAGAGCAAAAACTTGCTTCCCATTAGGCGAATCAGTTTGAAACCCGTGCCTCACACATTTTTTTCCCACACAATTTTGCATACCTGTGTGAAGTGCACCACAAAGAATAGAATGGGGTAAATGTTAGTTTTCTGTTTCAGAGGATGTTTTGTTGATCCAAATCTACTTTTAATGCATCAAAAGCATTATTTAATAAATGTTACAGCAAGTCTGAGAAGTAGTGGGGCAGCCAATTTGCAAACTCGCTAACGAATTGGCTAATTGCTTTGGTTTTGACAAAACAGTTGGTTTTCGAATCTCGCTGACGCCGTCAAGTGGTCACGTCTAGTCTGGGTGAATCCATATAACAGTAGGGGACAGGTGTCATACTTTAGGAGCTAATCGGTCTTACAGTTGGATATCTATTTAGCTTTCAAATATACCAGGGAAAGTGTTCTATGTTCTTCATGTAATGAGGTGTTCGTATACAAAGGATTGTCCACACAAAAACGACGAATGCGGTCGAATGTTTTTAGCGGTTTGCTTAATTTTATCCCAACGAAACGTTTGGATGTGAAAGTTTGTTGTTCTCTATCTGATATGTAGGAAACTGTTTCTCAACTTGACTCTTTATTTAGTTTCAATCAGTATTCAAGATGGCTACCCCCATATAGTAAATATCGGATGATTAATCGCATTTGTCATCGCATATTATCACTTGTGCGCAACTGAATGTGGCCATTCTCAGAGTCAGGCTGACCAGGAAAACTACTTATAATATTATCACGCCTCGCGTATCGAAGCAAATCATTCAGGGGTATCCAGAGATGTAGCAGGCTACGTAAAATCATTCTATGACCCCTAATGCAATATAGACTCGCCCAGAGTGGACGTGCCCACAAGTCAGCGCCAGCGAGATTCAAAAGCCAACTGTTTAGTCAAAACCCAAGCAGTTAGCCAATTCACTAGCGAGTTTGCAAATTGGCTACCCAAATACTTCTGAGACCTGCTGAAAATGTACATTTCTGTTGGGGGTATTGAAGAATATTAATACAAAAGATATAATTAAAACTGTATCACTGTATCAACTTTCCCTGAGATGAGAAACAAAATGGGGGAGAGGGGGGGGGGGGGGTAATGAGTGTCCAGAGTTCAACTGAGGTTGGTGTTTTGAAGTTGAAAAAAATAACCCTCAGTTAGAGTTAATGCTACCACAAACTTGAACCTTGAAAGGTTTATTAATATGTGAGTTAGAAAGCCAAGTCAAAATACTCAAAATTCAGTCATGAAAGTAACACTTGTTTCGTTATAACTTATTTCAATATATCCTTCATAGTTCCACGCAATCTTGAATACAATTATTGGAAAAATGTGAAAACCATTATGTGGGACAAGGCTTAAACTGTACTTACGCTTTTCGGAAAACACTATCTGGTAACTCGGATGGCTTAGATTTTATTAAATTCTTTAACTCCGGTGTCAATTCAATAACAAAATCTTCATCAACTGAAGAAGTCTGCACCATCTCATCATCACTCTCATCCTGAAGTCTGCATAAACATAAACAAATTAAAAAATTTCAAGCTTTTTCTTCAGTTTCTTCTTCTTCAATTTAATTTTATTATATTTTTTATTAAATTATTTTTATTTATTCTTATTTGATGAAACCTTCACTTGGCAAAATAACAAGAATTAGCAATGAACTTAAAAATTTGTATATATATTTACTACTACCCTAGTACTTATTTGTATTCAACCTAAACTGACTCAATTTGACTCGTGTTGTATTGTGTGTACTTCACATAGGAAAGGCAGCAGTAGTCAGTTTTTTTATGAACTACATCTGACAGGTACTGATCATACCAGCAGTTACCATGGTAATCATCTTTCATACCTTTTTTCTATTTCTGAAAAGGTTTCTTTTCCTTTCTTCACATATGGTTTGGGATGAAGGACCTCTTCCTGGCTGTACGAATGGTCATTACTGATGGACAGTTGCTGCAACTCTGCAGCCATTCTTTCTTCTGAAATGTACTGTTTCTCACTTGGTTCATATGAACTACTATAATGAAAACCATTAGTTAGTTACTGCTGTATAGAGGTACAGTCACTCTGATCAAAATCAAGATGTTTTTCACTTTTACAAGATCTTGTCATTGTCAGTGTACATTACCTCAAACTACAGATGACAATTAAACTATGTCAA